CACAATGGTCTCTGCGAAGGTGACAGTTTGCAGCCACTGCTCCAAGGAGCACCAGCTTCAGCATGGCTGGCCCAGCCCACCAGGCCCATCACCCTTTCTTTTCACCCTCCTGCCACTGGCTGGCCTAGGAGAGTGATCTTCCCAGATGGAGGAGGATTGTACCTCAAGCTAGGATAAATGTATATTTTCCTACTTCTCTGCTAAATTCTCTAAGAAAAAATTCATTACAAGTCTCCATGCCAACCTCTCAAAGAACCTTCATGACTGACCAACACAACACATTCCTTTGCTCTTGTGGAGTATTTTTGAGCAGCCAAATTTTGCTCACCGGTGTTCCAGAATTGCAAGGTCCCCAGAGTCTTGAGCTCAGTGAAATTACAACCTGTTACGTGTTGAAACAAGGACAGCGTTTGGAGCATAGAACCCATTTTCATTCACCCACCAGTAGCTCAGCTAACTGGCTTTGCTCAAGGACCCTTCCCACAGCAGCTCCATTTCACAAGAAGATTGCTTGGCTGTCGCTGGGCCTTTGAGATGTCAGGTCATTGGTAGATCTTAATCTTGTTTGTTTTGCTTTCAGAAACCTCTCTTCTCATCTCATTTCTCAGGGCTGCCTTTGAGTCTAATAACACTTTTAATACAAAATGCTTTTGTTTCTGAGAATCAGTGCTCCAGGCAGCCAGGTGCTTCCCTTTGAATCTGAACAATCAAATGAAGAGCTTATGATTAGCACAGCAGAATGAAGACCCACATGTGACAGTCACTTTAAAATAGGTCCACAAATTCTTTCCCACAAATTATGGACCTAATTCCCCTCCCTTGAGTGTAGGCTCTACTTAGTGACACGTTTCTAATGAATTGAATATGGTGAAAATGACTGACTTCTGAAAGTAGGTTAGAAAACACATTACAGCTTCCATCTCTTTGTTCACCTGTTACGGGGGAAGCCGACGTTCAAGCAGCCCTTGTGGCGAGGTCTGCTTACCTCCATGTGAGTGAACCTTCTTAGAAGCAGATTCTGTAGGCCCAGTCAAGCCTTTAGATGACTGTAGCCTTATGAAAATTAAGCTAGAATCATCAAGCTAAGCCACTTTGAATTCCTAGCCTTCAGAGAGTGTGAGATAATAAATGTATTTAAGCTACGCTTTTGGGGTAATTTGTTACACAGAAATAGATGATACACTTGCATGCTATTATTACCGTTGGAGCGATCAGAGTTCTGGTAACATACACTTCTTAAGTCCTTTTCACTGCCAAAGTAATGAATTTCAACTCAGGGAATATGAGAAATATTTGTTTATTAAAAGCACATTATGGGGTAGAAGATGGGTCAAGCCTGAAACTGGCTAACCACGTGGAAACAAGGTTACGTACCCCTGGGGGGTGTACAGTTTACAGCCAGGGAAGATAGAGAGCTGTAACCCTGGGGGAGGGAGAGGTCTGCATTATATTTGGGGCCGTGATGGGTGATTACAAAGGAGTTCTTAAGTGATTGGCATTTTGATTGACACTTGGCTGCTATATAATTCTTTGCCTAGTGCTGCTATATAATTCTTTGCCTAGTGCGCATGTGTGTACTCAGAATTCCGTCTGTTACAATTAGATTCATGAACTTCCAGGCATAAACATAGTATTATAATGAAGCTTAAATTGTAGGCAAATTAGGGTAGTACCTTCTGTGCAGGCGTCTGTAGCTGGATTAGGCCAGCTAAGACTATAACTCTCCTTTGTCTCTGGGGCTGCAGGAGGAATTCTCTAACTGCCAATAGGGTATTCTTTTGGGCGTTTTCTAGGCTGGGCCCCTATTCCTTTGTTCCCCCTGTCACTCGTGTCTGACTAGCTACCTAACACTATATACTGTCCCCAAACAAGGTTCCTTACAGGTTTGGCATAGGGACCCTTTGGCCAAATGCTAGACAAAGCATCGGTCTTGGATCCCAGCTACCTCCTTTCCCACCTTGGAGAACTGGGCTGGTCAACTAAGGAAGATGTTGTGAGCACCTCTCACCTACCTGTGAGTTCCAGAGCCTGATGTTAATGGCCAGCTGGGTCCCTGCTTCCTATCTGGGCCCTGCCCTGGCCCTTTATTGTCCAGTGTCCCACTTGCCTCCAAACAGGGCATTCTCATCTGAGCATGGACTCTATCCACATAGCCCCCAAACCCCAGCCTTCCTGGCTCCCCAGCCAGCTTCTCCAGGATGGATGTGATGGAAACCTCGGGGCAGTGAGACGACTCCTGCATTTTGATGAAACTCAGCAGGTGGAGCTGGAGGACACAACGTGGTGGAAGAAATGGGGGAGGGGCGACTCGAGGGAGATCATTCCTTGGAGCTAGGATGTGCCTGTTGGGGCTGAGAAGGAGGAGGGAGACAAGGTCGCCCTCCTCACCCCACCACACCACCTGTTTTCTTGTCAAATAGCTGGGTCGACTTGGAGAGCGGCTTCCCGTGGTGTGGGTTCCCACTGTTCCTGAAGCCTCCGGAAATGCTCACCAGTCTAGCCCTCCAGGCTTAGCTGTGGCTGCTTTGGCACATTGCCCTCCGGCTCCAACCAGTGTCCTCCAGGATCAGACCAAAGAAGACGGTTTTATAATGCATTCATGCTGTGAACCCTCTTCTCTCCACTGAGATATAACCCTGCAAATCCTCTTCCTTATGCATGGGAAGGGCCTTCCCTCCCCTGGGTGGAGTCTCATCCACCCAGGATTAATTCAGAGCTAACATCCGGAGATGTGTACAGGCACACGTCTTCCCTTTGCTTCTCATGTCCCATTTAGTTTTCTGCAATGGAGCTTGGCTCAGTCGCCCCAGCCGCGGCCCTGATTGTGACTAGCCCAGAGGCTGCCGGAACAGGAACACTCAACCCCTTGTCTTCCTATTCAATATTTCAAAAGTTTAGAGGCTCTCAGGACATTGTTTAATGACAGTCCCAGACCCATACCCTCAAATTAGACTCTAAATGTGAGGCCTCCCAGAGCTGCTGGATCAAGCTCCATGCCCTCATGGTGGTGCTCCTCAAGGAAGGCGGCATTTGCAAGACAGCCTGCCCTGCTTTGGTTTACAGTTGATACCAGAGTGCCACTGTCATCAAGGACAACTGCCTCCTTCAGGCAGGGAGCACAGGAGGAGGGAGAAGAAGTGAAAGGCTCTGTTTTGGGTCATCCCCACCCTGTTTCTTAGCAGAATCTGCCACCTGTGAATTGTTAAGGACTACTTACCTGTGGAGTGATTAACAGTGGCAAATAGATTCCGCTGGGAAAAGATCTCTGTTCCTTAGAGCAGCAGTCCTCAACCTTTTTGGCACCAGGGACTGGTGCTCCTATGAGAATCTAATCCCCGATGATCTGAGGTGGAGCTGAGGCAGTGTTGCTAGCTCTGGAGAGCGGCTGCAAATATAGATGAAGCTTTGTTTGCTCGCCGCTCACCTCCTGCTGTGCGGCCTAGTTCCTAACAGGCCAGGGACAGGTACTGGTCTGCAGCTCAGGGGCTGAGGACCCCTGCCCTAGAGGAACGTTTGAACTAATCAAACATGTTGATTTAGGTCCAGTGAAAGTGACTTTGGACTTCTGACTTCCAGAAGTATGAGAGAAGAAAGTTCTATTGTTTTAAGCCACCAAGTTTATGGTAGTTATAGCAGCCACAAGAAACTAATACGCCCACCCTGAAAACATGATATATTTGTCCTTCTGGTGAGTCCAAGCTCCCTGTCTTTCAATAGTGCAGTGCTAGAGCGAGTGCGGATCACCAGGATAGCTGGGGCCGTACCACATGGGGCCTTGCCAGGATGCCAAGATGCAGGCAAAGGAGAGCCTTGGAATGCGAGTGGCTCGATCTGGTTCTCATAAGAAAGATCACTGGCTCCTGAATGGCTGACTGATAAGCAGGGCAGGAGCGGAAACCATTAGAATGCTGTGATTGTCCAGGTTCGTGGCCTAGTGCAGGAGGTGGCTGGACAATGGAGAGAAACACGCAGATTTGAGGAATACTTAGGAGATGAGAAATGCCCACATTGGGCTATGGATTAGGTTTGTGGGCAGGTAGAGGGACATGCCTACTTTATGACAGGTACTGCCTTCAAATGAAGGAAGCGACCCGGGGGGGGTTCCCTGTTCTGAAGGAGCCCCTAGAGGGGGTGAGTGGGGACCATGGTGGGGCAGGGACTCTCAGACTGTGCAGTAGTGGATGTTCATCCCGGCCAATCAGTCCACCCTCCTCTCCCCCCAACTCTGGCTCCTACCCTTAGCCGTTGACTTGTCCTGGGAAAAGAGCAGTAGGAGGGGACTGCTCTCCTGTCCCCTGTCCCGGGGCTCCTCCATGAAGCAACTGTGGAGGGCAGGGTGTGTAAGATCAACACTAGCTTAGGAAAAAAAAAAGATACTCGATCTTTCTTCCACATATTGGTTGAATTTGAAGGTTCTCAAGTCTTCAAGGTTAAAAAAGGACACCTCTCTGTTTATTTTAAATGTCCTAACCTAAAATCAGCTGTATTCCTCCTGGGAATAAAACCCAGTGTGCCTTTTAAATCCTGTCAAGAGCCACGAAGAGGCCATTTCATGATTGTCCCTGTCCAAACTGAGTGCCAGCCCTTCTCTCCTGCCCGGCCTTCCTCATCAGCTGGGGACAGGGAAGGGCCTGGGGCCCTGACCACGGGTCCCAGCAAGGCCCCCTTGGTTAGGGGGAGGGTGAGACAAGCCACCTCCGGTGTGTGCTGATAAAAAGGCACTTGAATCTGAATGTATGCCCTTGATCTCTAAGCAGCCCGCACTACTGTTCCTGTGGCAATAGAAACACTTGGGCTTTGGTGTCCGAGTTCTGGGTTCCAATCACAGCTCTGTGACTTATTGCTGTGGAAGTTACTTTATT